GGAGTCGAATGCGAGTCAGTTACGTGACACACTATTTTGTATCGATAATTTTTTATGTTTGGCTTACCTAGTTTTAATGAAACGGGAATTAAATGTGATTTTTCATTAAATATTTATTTAAACTTTCTACTTTTTTTTCTTTCTAAATATTTTATACCGTTAACCGTTTATCGGCGATTATCTGTTTGTTTGTACTTTTAAATTACTTGATAAATTTTTAATCAGTTATATTGTAAGGATAAGTAATTATATTGTAAGGATAGTAGTCTTAATTCGATCTGTAATCATTCATCATCATCATCATCATTACAGCCCTTCATAAGTCCACTGCTGAACATAGGCCTCCCCCAAGTAATGCCACAAAGCACGGTCCTGAGCCACCTACATCCGTTGACTTCCTGCATGTCTTACCAGGCCGTCACTCCATCTAGTGGGGGGTCGCCCTACACTACGCCTACCGGTACGCTGGCTGTCATTCGAGAACCTTTCTTCCCCATCGGTTATCGGTTCTTCGAGCTATATGGTCGGCCCATTGCCACTTCAGCTTACTAATCCGTTGGGCTATGTCGGTCACTCTGGTTTTACTGCGGAGACTCAGAAATGAGGATTCATTTCTGGGTCGTATCACGCAGAGAAAATCCGAGCATAGCCCTCTCCATAGCTCGCTGAGCGACCTTGAGCGTCCTCATACGGCCAGCAGTGAAGGACCACGTCTCGGTTCAGTAGGTCATCACTGGGAACACGCACTGGTTGTACAACTTAGTTTTCAGGTTTTGAGGTATACCTGACGAGAAGATGCGTCGTAATTTCCCGAACGCCGTCCAGTCGAGTTGAATCCGTCGATTGACCTCTCGGTAAAAGTTGGACTTACCTAGTCGGACTATTTGTCCCAGGTAAACATACTCGTCAACAACTTCGAGCTTAATGCTCCCAACAACTACCGGCATAGGTGTGACATGGACATTAAACATGATCTTTATTTTGTCCATGTCATTGAAGTCATTGAGCACAGCGCTTAGGTCCTCCAGCGATTCTGCCATAAGGACTATATCGTCGGCAAATCGAAGGTGAGTGATGTACTCGCCATTGATGCTAATACCGTATCCTTTCCAGTCCAGTAGCTTGAAAACGCCTTGGGAAGAGTTTCGGGGATATAACGTCACCCTGTCTTACACCTCTCTGCAGTTGGATAGGTTTCGAACCCTGGTTCTGTGCTCGGATAGCCATCGTAGCCCTACTGTACAAACACTTCAGCACTTCGATATACCGACAGTCAAATTGGTACCGCTAAAGGGACTGTAGCACCGCCCGAATTTCGACGGAATCTCATAGTCCACATATGCCAGGCAAAGTGGCAAATTGTACTATTCGGTCTTCTGTACAATCTGCCGCAAGGTATGTATGTGGTCTATGGTACTGAAGCCTTTTCGGAAACCGGCTTGTTCGGGAGGCTGGAAGTCGTCGAGTCTGCGTGCGAGATGATTCGTAATGACTCTCGAAAATAGCATGTAGACGCGGCTCAGAAGGGAAATCGGTCTGTAGTTCTTCAAGAGAGTGTTGTCGCCTTTCTTAAAGAACAAGACCACCGCGCTTCTGCTCCACGCCACGCCGAGTAGTGCCACCATGGAGGACGGAATTGAAGAGCTTCTGAAGGACTTCAAGTACCGGTGTTCCACCCGCTTTCAGAAGCTCCGCTGTAATTCCATCCTCGCCCGGGGCCTTGCCTTTTTTAAGGTGCTGGAGAGCCATTCTAATCTCGCTGAGACTGACGTCCGGGATATCATCGGAATAGTGTCGGATAAGACTTGCTCTTGGATCGTTACTCACACTTGCGTGTGGCTCCAACGATGATGTGTACAGCTGCCCATAGAACCTCTCAATCTCACTCAGAATCTCAGGTGTCCCGGAAACGATGTTGCCACACTCAGTCTTCAGCTTTGACAGTTGGCTCTTTGTGGCAGACAGATCTCTGGCAAAAACTTTGGAGCCCTGGTTCCGCTCGATCGCTTCCTTAATACGAGCAGTATTAAAGTTGCTGTGTGAGTGAGATCTGTCTGTTCAGTTGCCTGTATGCTGTCAAATCTGTTGACGATTACAGCCTCATCTTCCGTCTAACAGCCATGAGATTAAGAGTGTGATCGGAGAGTTTTTGTGTTCTTCTGCGGCGGGTCTTGCGGAACTTAGCTCCGACCGCATGGACAGTTTCCACGAGCTTGTCATTCATATCGTCCAATGCATTGCAATCTTCTAGACACTGAAAGTGGTTACGTAGCTCGAGCTGGAAGGTTTCGGGATTCTGGATTAGAGCACGAGGGGGGCGGAGCGTTGACTTCATTAGACGAGACCTCTCCAACTTAACGTTTAGGTTCAGTGTGCCTCTAACCATTCGGTGATCGCTGCCAGTTTTCACCCTTGCGTCACTGAGATATCACTGAACAGTTGGCTTCTGGTCGTCATAATGAAGTCAATCTCATTTTTTGTCGAACCGTCGGGGCTCGACCAGGTCCACTTCCTGTGGGGCCGCTTCTGGTAGAAAGAGTTCATCATAAAAAGTCCCTCTTTATCCATAAATTCGGCCAGCTGCTGGCCCCTTCGGTTCCGTTGCCCTACTCCAAAATTCCCTACCTTCTGCTCACCGCTTTCTCTTGTGCCTAGTTTTGCGTTGAAGTCTCCCATCAACACCGTGTAGTCGGTTTTGGAGGAATGCATGGCTCTGGAAATACCCTCATACATTTCCTCCACCTCCTCATCGGGATGTGCCGAGGTTGGTGCGTAAACCTGTATGACCTTCAGCGAATACCGTTTGGTGATTCTGAGTATCATGTACGCGACCCTCGTCGACACACTCCCAATCTTTACAACGTTGTCGACGAGAGACTTGTGGACGATAAATCCGACACCTCCTTGGGACAGATGGTCGCCCTCCCGGTGATAGAACAAGTTGCCGGACTCGAGGATTACCATGTCCTCCCCCCTCTCTTCGGACCTCGGTTAATCCAATAATATGCCAGCGCAACTTGTCTACCTCTTCTTCCAGCTCCAGTATCTTCTCGTCAGTCCTCAGGGTGCGTGCGTTATATGTTGCCAGGTCGAGTCGTCGTAGGTGGCAACCGAACCTCCACCGGAGATTCTTAGCACCCCCTGCCCCGCCGTTACCATGGTCGCCACCGTAGCCAGGAATAACGGGGCCGCCGGGGACTGGGGGCCGTTTTTTTGCGTCGTTATTCATGGGGGGATATTTGCCATAGTTGCCACGCTTGGCGAGCGGGTTGGCAACCGTAGTTTTTTTATTATGTTATTGTTGTTATTAGGAAGATGCTGCTGCCCATCTCCTTTCTGTGTCCCTCTGTCGCCTCTTACGACACCCACGGGAAAATATGGGGTAGTGGATATTCTCAACCGCCACTACACGGCACAATCTGTAAGAAACCGGGAAATTGAAAATTAGCAAACAACAGAAAGTCGGTTACAGATCTTTAAAACTAATAAAAAATGATAAATATGTCACCCATACATATATTTATTTGTTTGCTGTTTGTTTAATGTTGTATTTATTTTATTTATACATCTGTTTATTTAATACAATGCTTTTATTACAAGTTTCCAAAAGATCCGGTTATTAAAGATAAATGGATATATTTATTTTTAACGTATTGTTATTTCCCCTTTTTTTCTAATTATAAAACGTCTAAAAGTTAAGCTAAGATTAAGAGCGTTTATTACTGAGACAATTTCAGTTAATTAGTTATATCTTGGTATGAGACTCCTGGAAGATCAACGACGCTTAATAGAAAGTTATCGAAACGTGCGTTGGGTTGCACTATGCCCAAGTGAGAGCGAGCGCGCAATGTCATTCTCTGTTTTTCGCACATTTTAATTATTGGAGCATATGGCTACGCCTCCTGAGATTTTGCGTTTTTATAAAATATTCCTTAACACAATAGTTTATAGATTAATCTTTGTTGCATGAATGCTAGAGATATTTGTAGGCTTAATTGTGTATTTATTGTTTGTCTATGTGTGAAAGCTACGACCTGGCGACACGCCAGATATTAAAAGGCAGTAGAAGGCATTTCTATCGTCTTATTATTTAGATTTCTGTGGCGCGAACACAGGTGCGCTTTCTTTACTCTCATGAGACACAGCGGTAGCGCTTAAATCCATTAGACATTCAATACTTAAGACAATAATATGTTCATGTCATTCATCATTATTATCAGTCATCAATACAGCTCATCACAAGTCTACTGCTAAACAAATGTTTCACCCATCTATCAGCATCTATCAGCTCCTAGAATTCTACATCTATAGAAACGTTCAGATAAATAAAATTTGTTATAAAATACTATTATATTGACGGCCCCGTGAAGTGCTAAGCAGTGAGTTATTAAATTTTAGCGAAACGAGAATTTTATTTGACAACTAAACAAACTTTCTCGGAAACACAATCTCGGATAAAAGGATTCGCAATAACAGACGCGTATGTAGATTTTATTGTTGCGGTACAGTCGAAGGAGAGCTTTTACAAGAGTTTATCTGCTTTGACCCTCCCTGGAGCGTAAAATTTTACTGCTGCTATTTTGTCCTAACGTTGGTTCCCCAATATGATGTCCACAGCCCCATAAAATACATATCCGGGCGTATTTATAGTAAGCTATTTAACTTTAATAGATTTTATTTTTATTATATTTATATTTAATGGCGTAACTAAAAGATATAAGCAATCAACTAATGACAGTGACATATAAACTTACAGGTCATCTAATAGCAAATGACCAGTCCAGCCTGTAGAGACCACCAGTGTCCAAAAAAGGAACGATAATGGGCTTGTCACCTTTGTGGACAAATTTGAAATGCCTTACATTATTCTTTTATTGCTTAATATTTATTGATTTTTTTAACATACCTTTTTTGTCTGAGAATTTGCTCTTGTTCCAATCCCGTGTTTATTGTTGTTATAATATTTCAATTTTAATTTTAACCATAATGTTTGTTTGCAGGCAATCGTGCTACCGCCGCTAGCGCGGTGGCCCTACGAGAACGGCTTCACCTTCACCACGTGGTTCCGACTCGACCCTATCAACTCCGTCAACATAGAGCGGGAGAAGCCATATCTATACTGGTATATTTTAATATTTTCCATGTCATTTGTTTTGAATTTATTTTAACCCTTCAGCCCCCAAGTGGTCTCATGAGACCCCGGCCATATTCCGTCAAATCCCTAGCGGTCGGTTTGAATTGATTAACGAGTATTGGGCACCATTTCTATCTCTCAGCCACTTGTACTGACACGAAATCCACACTGGACCATTTGAAGTTGATACTGGATGTCTAGAAATACAATTGATCGATTTAAAAAATAAAGCTTTGTGGAGTGGAAAATTTACAGAGTTGAAAATCAGGTTGGAAGAGTTGGAGGTCCATAAATGTATGTACGTAACGCAACAAAAATGGACAGCTTTAAAAGAAATGCCGCGAGTTGAGGCACTTATATTTGACGCATGAATTGTCTTCAAGAATAAATTGAATAGTCTTCAAGATTGCTACAGTGAGGGGAAGAAGTTGGCATTTGTAAAGCTGACTATCTTCGGATCGAAATATTCATGCAAGCAAGCGTTCTCTTGCATGAATATAACTAGAAGTAAAGTAAAAAGCCAAATAACAAATGATAGTTTCGAGTAGAGTTGAAACCTAAAATAACAAGTTATGAGCCAAATTTATCCAATCTTCTTAAAACCATAAAAAGCCAACGCTCTCATTGAATTTGTTAGCTCAAATGTATGTTATTGCTTTTTTTATTTTTTCATTGTTGAATAAAGTTTAAATATTCTACTTGAATAACTATGCAAAGTCAAAGCTTCAATTGAATTTGTTTGCTCAATTGTTTGCTATTGAAGTACAAGTTAGTGTTGTAAGACTTACAATGTAAATATGTAAATGTTTCATTTATTTAATTTTTTATTTTAATAATAAGTAATTATCTAATAATATATATAATAATAATAAGTAATAATACCATTTATATAATCTTATAAATAGATAATAATAATAGAAATTAGATTCTAATTTGTTGTGAAAAAACACTACTTTTATATGATGAATGAATGTATAATTTTCTTATGAATAAACAGATAAATGTTTATTTTATCAAAAAACTTTATTTATGCAAATACTATTTATGTTTGGCAAGAAAAAAAATTGTGGCTCTTTAAAAACTTTGAAATTTTGTTAATTGTAATTTTTGAGTCTTCCGACTTAAAAGGTTGCCGACCCCCTGCTCTAGTGCAATAAAAAAACTGTTATCCTATGAACATTTATTTATAATCTACATTTATTTCGTACGCCATTTTCGCGTGAATGTTATTGTGTTGATTTTTTGATATTTCTAGTGTTTTATAAGTGTTTTAGTATGGTGTTTTATTTTAAATTGTAAGGATAGTTTTTTTGTGAATATAATTATATTTGTATCTTTTTACGTAAATAATTTCTAGTAATATATATTGAATTAATTGTGATTTTCACGCTGCCGACATTCGCTTGGTATGTTTTGTATGTGTTATCAAAATACAATAATCTGTTTGTAATGAACTAAAACCTGACTTTTATATAGAGAATTTTGTATAGATTTTATAATGCCAAACTTCTTCATAGAAAAGTAGTCTCCAAATATAAGTTTTAATGGTTTTTAGTGCCGCGGGTGGGTGCTGTCGCAGGCGATCGATCGGGATTTGCCGGACACATGCAACTGCATGAGAATTTTAAGGGGCCTGAGGGGTTAATACTAGACATAGCTTATGCCATTGTGAGTAATCTCTGTGGACCGCAGAAATTTTGAGCACCCACGACTTTTTCACCGCCAGAGCGGCGCCGCTCAGATTCATAATACCGGCGGATGATAAATTGTTAGAGAAGTGTAGAGATTAATGCTTCTCTTTGAAATATTAGTTATGTTTTATATGAAATCGTTTAGAAATAGTATACGTGAATATATAGTAAAAAGTACAAATGCTAAATATCAATTAGAAAAATAAAACTTAACAGAATTAAAAAAAATAATACATACACTAGATACCAGAAAAAAAATTACGTGTTTCATTCTGAAATGGGCTAAACGCGCACGCTTTTTGAGTAAACCGTATTCTTCATACCTACTGAAACTTAGTAGTTACTAGGGTTTCATAAACAGGAGGAGTCGAATTCGTAGAGGGATTTTGGGACTGAAAACATTGGCACAAGCGTCGGTATTAATTAGCTAAACGCTCCTAATGCCGGACTGTTGGAACAGAGCTGCGATAACAATTTACTTTGTGAATACATACGAATTTTGTATTCAACGCCGCAAGCGAGTCAGTCTCTACCTGCCGCAGTGACTTAATTAAAACTTTTTAGAGTAAAAATTGTTTAGCTGTACAATTAAGAAGTGTGCTAGCCTGCTAACTCGATCAGGACTTTGGTAGTTCTGCAACTGAAATAATCATCTCTGTCTTGTTGTCCGGCTGTTACAAATTTCTTACTGGATCACTTATCTTCGATAACAGGGTCATACCAATCGATCGATCGTCGATCGATCTATTGGTGTATCAATATTTTAAACTTTTTTAAGGTCTATCATTAAAAACCGTTTTAAGGTTAGTTTTAATCTTTGGACTTGTAAGTTGATGGAATAAGTCTTATAGAGATAAATTAAAAGAGTATTTCTGGTATTTGTAAACCCAAATGAAAAACAAAAACCAGACAGGATCTAAAATATTTACTTTAAAAGCTACGAATTACAACAAATTCGTGTTGCGCGCTTTAAGAGTAAAGAAAATTAAATAACCCGAAAAGTTTTTAATAAATGAGCATTAAAAGCAATATTCACCCTTTATTAAACAAGATATTTCTAAGTTAATTAGGAAAGGGAAATTCGCTCAGCCGTGGCGTATTTGGGTATTAAAATTATTTCTAATTACTGTTATTAAAACGAAGACCTACCGTTTGAAGGTCTAATTAAATTTCTTAGAGGTAGATTAGTTTGCGCTATTGATAAAGAATTCTATTGGGTACGTAATGGTACATGATTTCTAAATAAAGTAGATATTTTTATATCCATTAAATTCATAAAACGAGCATATTCAAATTAGTTTTACTAGAAACATACATAAACACTCACGCCTGTCACCCAGAGGGGTAGGCAGAGACTACAGACTTCCATTTGGCACGATCCTGACACACCTCTCTCGCCTCCTCCACATTCATATACCTACGCATACATGCTCGTCGGTCAAGGGTACTCTTAATTTAGCCCATTTTCAATATAAAGTGAGATACAAACTCAATTATTGTGTGTATTAATAAGCCGCATTACAAAACTACATGTAAAGGTCACAATATCTATTGTTTATTCTTAGTTTGTACTAAAGAAATTATTAAATTATACTAGAGTGTAAAACTGGGGAAATTGTGTCCTTTACTTTTTGTATTCTACTGTCTTTTGGTATGTCAATAATAATAATAATGTCCACCAGACCCAATTTCGGTCACGGCGGCCAGTCTCAATGCAGACCAGCCTTCTGCGCGGGATAGAATTATAGTGTCCAATAGTATGCGTTAGCACGGGGGCACTCTCTATTCCCTCACTCTCCTAGTTCGACACGACCGGAGAGAGACCAATAAATAGTTTTTTGTGCTTTCCAAGTCAATGGGGTGGAACACCGTTGTCGTGCTGATTGCTGGCTGTTATTCAGAATTTCTTGACAAAAAATCTCAAAAACTGATTTTGGCACGACCCGGGATTTGAACCCGGTACCTTATAATCACCAATCTCGCTTATGAATACTGGACTGACAAGGTAATCAAAATATAATATGAATGCAGCCATTTATTTCTTACTTTAAACTGCAGCCCTTGCGGTTTGATATTTAGTTTGCGTGCGTGATAATTACACAAGATATACAGGGTAATGTTTCAAAGAATAGCCTTTTAAACTTTTTTTTTTGAAAACGAGTAAATAAGGCTTCCCAAATATATTGCAGACCTTAATCATTCGTCTCCTATACAAAATGTAACAAAGGGCCGTTTTTGTCCTGTGAGACTTCTTTGCCTTAAATATTATTACGCACTCTAACCTTAAGTGGATTACCCGATGCTCTTACGTCGCAATTATACGAATTTTTTTTATTACATTACATTATTTAATATTTCATTAATTACAGTCTACCAAATGAGTAGTCATTGCTGAGCTGAGCATTGACGACCCTCTTTGATTACCTTATATATTCGCCATAACTGCTAAGGTTTGCAAGCGCGGAAGATGCTGTTGCTGTACTTCTTGCAGTTTCCCTCTGCCGCCTCTTACAAAAATCATGACTTGATATGGGATAGTGGATATTCCTACGTCGCCACTACACGGCAATAAGAAAATAATTACATTAATATTTCTTTGTATTGCACAGCTTCAAAACAAGCAAAGGAGTCGGCTACACAGCGCATTTCGTCGGCAACTGCCTGGTGCTGACGTCCATGAAAGTTCGAGGCAAGGGCTTTCAGCATTGCGTCAAATATGAATTCCAACCGCGAAGGTGAGTTAAGAGGTCTCAGAGAGGTTTTAACTTAATAATATGTTTCACAGTTTCATGTCTTTTTTATAGAATAAGGGTGACAAATGAACACACGGTCCATCTGACCGTAAGTAGATGCTGTGGCCTATAGAGATCTACATTTATCCTTAATTAGGAATCAAAACGCAGATGCGTTGTCACCTCTAAGATGACTAAGATGGAACGCCTCGTTTCCAGTAAAAAGGATCTCCGGTTCTCTACACTTAATTTTTTATGTGAAGGGAATACGGATGTAAATATGCATGATATCATCTGTAGGTAGACATCAAAGTGGGCATCAAAGATCAAACGTTAAGCTATAGTGATAGTTGTTGACCTTTCATCTACAGAATATAAAGATACATAAATAAGAATAGTTTTAATTAAATAATAATAAGAATCAAGAATAATCATCAATTGTAGTTTCGTGCTTTTACCAGTGGTTCGGGAAAAACTTCTGTCGTGATAAGAGTCAGCAAGCAACCCAGCCATAATAGCGATCACCTCATTCCCAGGGGGTTATTATCCATCATGTATTCCTTCCAGTATGATAGCCTTTATTTAACAATTGATGCTTGATAATTATTTTAAACTTTTTATAGACATGTTCAGGACTTTGTTGTAAAAGCGTATGCATTGCCTCATGAAAGAATCACTAACTATTTGGTATCGATTAAACAGTATATTATATACAGAGCCGTGGTAGCTCAGATGGTTAACGCTCGCTGTAATATAACAGAACGCGAGTAACCCGGGTTCGATCCCCGCCGGCACCAATGAAATTATTAATTGCAATTTTAAGTGCTGATTTACCACGTGCTCAGCGGTGAAGGAAAACATCGTGAGGAAACCTGCATGTCTGAGGAATAAGATAAAAAATATTTCTAAGACATGTGAAGTTCGCCAACACGCATTGGGGCAGCGCGGCGGACAATTCTTCGCCCTAAAACCCTCTCATATATGAGGGGAGGCCTGTGCTCGGCAGTGGGACGTGTATATAGGCTGTAACTTTACTTTTTTTTAAACAGTATAATTAAGTCCTTGTTTTAATTCATCTCCGTAGTTTTTCCTACTAAAAATCATAAACTAAACGTATTATTTAAGGTTTCTACAACGTTTCGCTTAATGGGAGAAATATTTGTGTTGATTCTTTTTACTTTTCAATGAAAACATTTTCGTACCTACTAGTAACAATAACATAAAATTGTCAACGCACCTGTAATTCCCCTGGAATTGCAGATGTTTATGAGCGACGGTGATCACTTACCATCAAGTTAGCCGCATCCTCGTCCATTAAAAAATACCATTGTCACTAAATAATCGATTCTGATTTTTGTTTTTTTGTTTACGTAGGTGGTACGCGATAGCAGTGGTGTACATATACAACAGATGGACCAAAAGCGAAATCAAATGCCTGGTGAACGGGCAGCTAGCTTCCAGCACTGAGATGGCCTGGTTCGTCTCCACCAATGACGTAAGTAGGATTGAATTTCTATATTGATCAAGTGTTCATTTTATGAAGACAATAAAGTGGGGTGAATAGAAATCAAGAGGTGAATAAGTTAAGGTCAAAGGCTGGCAAGGCATCTGAAATTCCCCTGGTGTTGCCATTGTTTATGGGCGGCGGTAGTCAGTTACCATCAGGAGAACCGCAAGCTCGTTTGTCCCCTCTTATATAGAAAAACTCAAAATTATTTAATGTATGCTTGTTTCAAGCTGTTATGAACGCCGAAATCTAAATCGTTTCGCAAAACAAAAACCTCAGAGAAGAACTGGCAAGAAATTCTGGGGTCTTTATTGTAAGCGGTAAGCAGTGTTACAATTTCATGTTCAATAATTACAGTTTCGTTTACAATTTTATGAAAATTCTGTATTATATCCAGCCCTTTTTTCTTCACACACGTTGCATCTAATATGTTGTAAATATTTTTTTTATAATTGCATACTTGTATAACGTTTATATAATTATTTTTATAGAGAATATAGGTGACAAAACGAGCATGACCACCTGACGGTAAGTGGCTGTTATGGCCCATACATATCTACACTTATTTTCGATAAATAATCTAAATGCAGATACGTTGTCGTCCCTGAGGACTAAGATGGGATGCCACGTTACAAGTAAAAGGGGGCTCTGAATCTCTACACTCACCACACGAAACACAGCAGCATTGTCTTGCTGTCACACGCTGGTATACTGTGTGAGCGTGGTCCTTCCCCAGTTGACCCTACACATTATATAGTATAGCTAACATAGCTGCAGCGTGGCTCTCTTACACTTAAGAATTTTAGATATTATTAAATAAAAAATATACCGTTGAAAGTTGTGGTGTAACATGAATGTCGGCTTACGGTGTGGAAAATATCGGCTTAAAACTTTTGTTATATGTAACAAAATGTGATATTTCACCGATTATGCTATTGTGTTTATAGTACGTAAAAGTAACAAAGATCAGAAGTAACGATTGTTTTAAAATTGATTGATTCGCCTAAAATCAATAGTCAGGTAATTTTCTTAATAAATGGGGTCAGTCATAAGGAGAGAGGGGTTATAGATTAGGGCTGTTACTTAAAAGTTGTCTATACAAAATTAACTTGGTAACTAAGGTAACTCCTTCATTCCAAGTTAATTTTGTATCAAAGTCGTAGATGTCAAGTACCTGATCGAGTTAGATGACAACTTAATTTCTTTTGTGCCTTGCGTAAACGCTGCTTTGAGGATATAAGTTAAGATGGGAACGTTCCTATAACATACTTATTTAAGATACAGTCATATCTACATGGTTATGTTTAATTTTTTTTTTGTGGTTTTTAAATTAATACGGATTTCTTTATATTATGATTCATTTTAAATGTTAGTTACAAATGCATAATAGACATATTTAAGAGACTTTATTAAAACTCTTAGTGTGTTTAATTGGTAAAAATATCACAGTACGAAATCTCAAATACGAGGGTGGATTGAAAAGTACTCGGCCTAACCAAGAAAATAAACACATACTAAATCAGTTATATTTTTATTTTTCTACATAATCACCATCAAGTTCAATACACTTTTGCCACCTCCCCTTCCAAGCATTTAGACCGTTGAAAAAAATGATTCTTCCTTAGAGTCAAAATATGCGTCTACAGCTGCTTTGACCTCGTCGTTTGTCGAAAATCTTTGACCTCCCAAGTGCTTTTTTAGGTTAGGGAACAGAAAGAAGTCTGATGGTGCCAGATCAGGTGAATACGGCGGATGCGGTAACAGTTCAAAGCCACAGTTGTGAATTTCAACCATTGACTGTACTGACGTGTGAACACGGGCGTTATCTTGATGAAGCAGGACTTTTCTTCTGAGCATTCCTCGACGTTTTTCTTTTATTTCCTCTCGTAAACGACGTAGTAAGGTGCAGTAGTAATCAGAGTTTATAGTCTGACCCCTTTCAAGATAATCAATCATAATCACACCTTTCGAGTCCCAGAATACTGAAGCCATCACCTTATTTGCCGACAAAATCGACTTAGCCTTTTTAGGGGTGGTGAACCAGGTCTTCTCCACTGTTTTGATTGTTGTTTTGTTTCCGGTGTATAGTAATGAACCCATGTTTCGTCCATAGTAACAAAACGATTCAAAAAATCATCTGCATCGGCTTCAAATAACTCCAAACAGTCGCGTGAAATAGTCAATCGCGTCCTTTTTTGTTCAACTGAAAGCAGTCGTGGAACCCACCTCGCAGACACCTTGTGGAAACGCAACTCGTTGACAATGATGTTTTGAGTTCGTTCATAAGAGATGCCTATAATATCGGCTATCTCTATTTTTAATCTGCGGTCTCCCATTATTAAATCAAGTACTTTTTTAATATTTTCGTCAGTAGTTGACGTCGAAGGCCTTCCAGAGCGGGGTTCATCTTTCACACTCTCTCTACCACGCTTAAATTCTGCTATCCATTTTTTGACGGATGAATATGACAGAGCACAATCGCCTAATGTACTGACCATGTCATCATGGATGGCTTTTGATGATAGCCCCTTCTTATGGAGGTACTTAATGACGGCACGCTGCTCGATTTGCTCCATTCGCGGAAATTATGTCCGATTACTTTGTTAATAAATTTATAAAATCACAACTAATTATCGCAAACGTTTCGAACTTCACACAATGAACTAGTCTGAACTGAACTAAATAATGTGGGTAGATTTGATTTTTAGAATTGAATGGATCTGTGTTAGGCCGAGTACTTTTCAATCCACCCTCGTATTTTTAGATTGTTGCCACATTTCTCGATATTTAGAATTGAATATTAAAAATTTCCTAAAATTGAAATTCACTTTTTGTAAATAAGTGCAGATTAGAGGCAAATAACTATATATGAAAAACGCAAATTAAATCTTCATTAAAACACTCGTCTTTACACACTGCATCAAGGACTATCTCAAAATAACGAGATATTTGACTAGACAATTCACCTGCGTCCATCTTTTTCGATTAGATCTTACTCCTAACTGATTTATTCATACTTTTTGTTTTTTGTACGAATTTAAATGGTAATAAATTTAAACTCCGAAAAGGCGTTGCATAACGCCTTTAAGGAATCTATTGATTCTTGAATATCTATTTGTGTATAATTTGTGGTGCAGAGACATCGATTAAATTTCATTAAAATTGCAAAATGGTATTGAAAATAAAGGCCGATACTTCAATTTAGAAGAAAATTGTTTTCCGTTTTTGTTTTTATATAAAAAGGTAAAACTTCATAGGTAAGTAAACTGCATTAAAACACAACATGATCTAAGTGTCAACTTATTATTAGTTGCGTAAATAACATTGAAACTCTCAGACCCTTAACCTCTTCGATATTTTGCCTTAGAAAATATGGTACTCCCATGTTATGTATGAAACTTACTAGTAATCCGTTGATACAAACAGAAATACTTATTAGTCTTCTTAATCTATCCTCAAAATCAGGGGTTCATAACTCTTAGTAGCTTACTCTTAATAGCTTAGTGTTAAGTATTAACTGTTTACTCAGGTATTAATGCATTCATTTAATTTCCGGGAACATCCCTGACATTCTTCCTCTCGATATATACTGCGTCGTTAAGAGCAAATTTACTATGGACACAGCACGCGAATTCTTTAAACATTATGTGGAGTTCATAAACATGTTCGAGTAATAAATTGACTGTCTTAAGAAGGTCATATGCTGCAATAAGAGCCTTTATGCAACTTTCATCCATGATCTATGTTCGTTAATACATTATAGAACATGAATATTCACAAGTAATCGAGAGAGCACGTGTCTACGCATTGTCAGCAATTCATTACAGCTCATGCTATGGGCGTTTACTTTGCGTAAATCGATAACGTTGTATGGTAAAATTATTTTTTGTTCACACCAAGCATATGGTCTTTGGAGCATTTTAATTCTGATATCTTATATTATTCCCACTAAATGCGTCACGTTTTAGCAGTGTGACACAGTTATTCCTCGATCACGTCTGATGTTATGACGATCACGACGTAGTGGCTGGTGTCGAAACAATATTATTCGATTTTTAATTAAAATTGAGGTATTGTTTTATTTTCTTGCCACTAAGACGTGAATAACCATTTTTAAAACGTTTGTATGCGTGTAAGTCTGTCTGTCCAGGCTAATCTTCGAGATGGCTGAACCGATTGTAACTAAACTTCACGCACAGATAGAGAGCATTGCAAGAAGTGATCTAGGCTATATTTTTTCCGAAACCTTTGGGATTTTTCTTGAGAAATCGAAAAATTGATAACATCGATCTTTGATGATAATCTTCACTCTACTTCTTTTTAAAAAAACCTTACCTCCACACTAGGATTTTCTCCTGTATCGTAGGGGAAATTTACATACAAAAATTTCATAAGAACACACATCTAGACCCGGAAAAAATATTTGTATACCATACAAATACTTGTTCCGTGCGGGATTCGAACGCGAGAGCCTTAGCGCTGCAACTCATTGCTAAGCCAGTGCGCCATGGAGTCGTCATTCTTACGTCACGTAGCAGTGTTGATTATCTTTAATCTAAATAACGTCATATTAATGGATTATTGCCCAGGTAAAGCCGGGGCGGTTCACTAGTTACATATGAAACTGTAGCTTAACGTTCTAACACTTGAAGTTTATGTTTATAAATGTAAGGTATTGAATAGAAAATATGTTGTATTAACAATGCGATTTCATTCCGGACACATTCCTTGTAACAAGTTTGCTTTCATGATGAAAAAGAAACAATCTCCAAATTGGGACACATGCAAGACAATAGCAGACATACAACACTTGCTCGCGGAATGTTCCAAAAACCATCACAAAAGTAAACTACTAGCCGAGAAAAAAGAATAAAAAATTAAAATGTAAAGTAAAAGCGATCTTTTCTTGAATATATATAAGTTGTTCTATAATGATTTCTTATATTTACGCGAACACTATACATGATTAAAACTACTTTTACGGATTT